TAAATATATTTTGAAAATGCAGGACAATTTTTCAAAAAATGTACCTACATATAATTGCGTAGCATAAAAATAACAAAAATATACTACATATATACATTCCTCGTCATTTGAATAGCGCACCCTTTTTTTGATTTTCTACCATACAAAGTATGCTTGACAAAATGTTTATATGGAAGAAAATGCGCAGGGGAGGTAGACGTAGAATATGCTATATTTTTATGAAAAGTTAATGAATATTAAACAAACAAAAGGAAAACTGTACCTACTAATTATTATAACGAAGAGTGTATATTTCTTAATTATTAATCCAATTTTAAACTTTAAACATAAATCACATTTGCTTCATTGGTATTAATCTTTTAGTAATGAATATTTACAAAATTATAATAAGGCATATTACATATTACTTTACACGAAATATGAACCTCTGTAAAGTAAATTTTTTAGGCAATTTTTGGGTCGTTGAACACGAAAAAATACCCATGGTTTCAAAGAAGTGTTTTCGAGATTTGTTCGAAAAACGTATTTTTAGTACTTTTTCAGTTATTCCTCAATATCTCATGAAACGACCAACAGTTCGAAAGGTATTGATGGGCTCTTTGCAAAAATATATATTTTTTGTGCAGATTTTTTTGTACATTTCTCATCAGATTTTCATTTACTGTAAAAAGAAAATGATTGAAATTTCAATTTTTCGATTTTGGTCGCTTGTAACACTAACAACTTTCATCGAAATCGGCACAGTAATATATTTTTGTAAGAGGACTGTAGGTCGCTTATGTTGATTGGATAATTTTTTCATGAGATATTGACGAATAGGTTCGAAATGTACCAAAAACACGTTTTTCAAAAAAATTACGAAAGCGCTTGTTTCAAAGGAAAATTGGCTTGGAAACTATTTTTTTTCTTAAGCGATTACCATAAAATTTGTAGAACAGTGTTATCGATATATTTGATGCTGGTGTTCAATTTCTCGTCATCCATTGTCCATAACCGTACAATATTTAGAACGCATTGACTAGTTGAACCTTCAAAACCAGCTTACCCTTATGTAGTTATCAATTAGTTATCGACACTGCTTTTATTTCTATAAGGAAAAGTTAATTATAAAATATCGAAGAAAATGCGGGACAAAAGCAGGACACTTGGAAAAAATCAGTACATTTTGGGTCCTGCAAAAAACAGAACGGATGGTCACCGTATGCATATAGAGCGTTGACACATGATCTCCATGCAATGGCTTATCACAAACAAATCCAACACTGGTGCGCGTGTGCTGCAAGAAGTATGAACAGCATTCGAGACACCGAGAATAAATAATTCAAAACAAATATTTGATATTTGACCGCAATACAAATTGCCTGATGGTTTTCGTTTGGTAAGACTAAAGCTCATTCTTATTTAAGAATTTTCTTTCATTAAACTAAATTCTTTCCGTATTTTTCAATTAAAATTTAGCTGTCCTATACAAGTTTTTGAATATGTATTTTAAAAAAGTTTGAAAATATTTCACTTTTTATTTACAGATGGAAAGTATACGCATACTCACAGACTATAAAAACCATAGCTCAAATGATAACACAACACTCATTATATTTTGATAATTAATGTTACACAAATGTTGTTACACATAAACGCTTAGAATTTACGATACAAATAGAATAAAAGTGTTGTGTTATAACTCGCACTATGTTTTTTACAGTGTGGCGAATAAAAGCAACAACCGCAGGTTTTACGAAAATAATTTCGTTAAATATACGAATTATTTTTGTGCATTTTACAAAAATTTCGTAAAAAACAAAGAAATAATACGAAATTCTTTGGTAAATAGTACGAAAACATTCGTAAAATATACTAAAGATCTGATGTCTCATATTTCCGAATGTACGAAAACGGTTTTATACCATTAACGAAAACTTTCATGGCTCAAAATCACGGAATATTTCGTAAGATCTACGCAAGTTTTCGTTATACTGGCGCAGATTTAATTTTCAGTGTATTTATGATCTGATTTGTTACACATTTTGCATGTCTAATTGAAACGTAGTAAGACATAGATTTACAAAAAAAAAACTTTTTCAATAGTAATTTTAGTAATGTAACATCACGCCAGATACTTCAGCTGATTAAACAAAAAGCAGAAAATATTTTTACATTATAAACTTGGAAAACTAACCTTACAGCTCAACCTAATATTACCGGTGCGAGTTTTTCTATGCAAGCACGCAAGTTTTTCGCATTTGTTTAACCGAAATCAATTTGCGTGCGGGACTTATCAGAGTTGCCCTTCTGTCAAATTTACAGAAGTTTATTAAGCAAAATTTGAATTCACAGTCGCGCCAAAATGTCAAACGAGCACAAACGTCAAATCGAAATGTCACGCAACACAAATCTTGGAATTTGAGTTAACTTTTTACACACGCCGTTCAATTTCGGTTGGTCTCATACAAGTTGTATGAGCATGAGAAATTTTTGACAGTAAAAGCGCAAACAGTCAACGACGTAACGTAGACGTAGGTTGACGCAGACACGATACAAAAACTTTTATACAAATAGTCTTGCTCAATTCGCAGAGTTTTGCAATTTTGTAACTCAAGTCAAAATCCAGTTCCGTTTTTTGTAACGTCACGCCAGCGCATATGTTTACTAATATCTTTAAATCGCTACCACCAAGAGTTGTACAACACAAACCACTTCTAGAAAATTGGGGAATTGAATCTCTTTAAAAAAAAGTGATTTAAATGTTCCATTTTGTACAGATTGTCTGTGTTAAGTTACATATAATTTTTAATGTTACTTAATTTTAAATGAATTGTTTTTGTCAACATTGTAAAAACCTAAAATTTTCCCAAAATCCCTTCATTTTTGAAGGTTCAAGTTTTCTTCTGACAATAAAATTGTTTTGGCAATTTACAGGTTTTGGGAAACAATAGAGATTCTGTAACCAGTTAGCGAGAAGTTTCGGATCGATATCGCAATTGTTGGCGTAAAAATATTTCTTATCATACGTCAACAAAACCGATACCGATTCGAAAATTGTTGCTAAATTATTACAGAATCTGCCCCCAGGCCTACAAAAATGATATCGTCCGATTCAGCTGGAACAAAAATGCTTCAAACAAGTAAGAGTTTCTTTGTATTATGGCCGACATATATACATCTTTCATTTGAATCAGTATTAAAAGCTCTATTGGCTCCTACATTCGGGTTTTGATAGGCGAGTCTTCCCTGAATCCTTTTTTCCATATTTCTCATGCATTCATTTCTTCGTTAAATTCTTAAACGGAAGAAGTTTTCTCTATGCACGCGCACTTATACACATAAATTCATTATGTAAATAAAGACGCCTAAACGTACACCACAAATCTGTTTCTTTTCGTGTTTTATCTTTCAAGCATTTGTGCAAAGAAGTAATGTCGCAAAACTCATAAACTTCAATGGACAATATCTCAGGTTTAAAACAAGATATCTCGTTGAGTTAAACATCATTATCAAGAAGAAATATTTTACTTTCAAATGGCTTACTAAATTTTCTAAAAAAACGAACTATTCTTGATGAAATACATGAAAATACATGACGTCGGTTCGAATCCTACTGAAAGAAGTCTGATGAGGAATTGTGGTGATTTCCGAAATAGCTATCACTTCTACTATTTTTTTTTTATTATTGTTGCTTTTCCACAATGAGTTTTCATTAAAAACGGCCTCAAGCTCAATNTTCTGTAACCAGTTAGCGAGAAGTTTCGGATCGATATCGCAATTGTTGGCGTAAAAATATTTCTTATCATACGTCAACAAAACCGATACCGATTCGAAAATTGTTGCTAAATTATTACAGAATCTGCCCCCAGGCCTACAAAAATGATATCGTCCGATTCAGCTGGAACAAAAATGCTTCAAACAAGTAAGAGTTTCTTTGTATTATGGCCGACATATATACATCTTTCATTTGAATCAGTATTAAAAGCTCTATTGGCTCCTACATTCGGGTTTTGATAGGCGAGTCTTCCCTGAATCCTTTTTTCCATATTTCTCATGCATTCATTTCTTCGTTAAATTCTTAAACGGAAGAAGTTTTCTCTATGCACGCGCACTTATACACATAAATTCATTATGTAAATAAAGACGCCTAAACGTACACCACAAATCTGTTTCTTTTCGTGTTTTATCTTTCAAGCATTTGTGCAAAGAAGTAATGTCGCAAAACTCATAAACTTCAATGGACAATATCTCAGGTTTAAAACAAGATATCTCGTTGAGTTAAACATCATTATCAAGAAGAAATATTTTACTTTCAAATGGTTTACTAAATTTTCTAAAAAAACGAACTATTCTTGATGAAATACATGAAAATACATGACGTCGGTTCGAATCCTACTGAAAGAAGTCTGATGAGGAATTGTGGTGATTTCCGAAATAGCTATCACTTCTACTATTTTTTTTTTATTATTGTTGCTTTTCCACAATGATTTTTCATTAAAAACGGCCTCAAGCTCAATAAAAAAAAAAATTGTTGAATATAATTGTTATAAGGCCATAAAATAACAAAAACAAATAACTTAAGGACGAGCACACCTTAAAGTTAAACATTCTAATAATAGAAATATTAACAAAAACCAACAACTACATGATCAAGTCTAAATAGCACTGCATCAGCTGCGCCTGATTGTAGTTGGCTTAACCAATGAAATAGTGGAAATAGCAACAAGAATTCACAAGGCCAACTTAGCACAGTGCGTAGGCAACTGACTGAGTGGAATCGTCGGTTCGAATTCTACTGAAAGAAGTCCGATGAGGAAATGTGTTGATTTCCGAAATAGCTATCACTTCCACAATTTTTTCAAATTATTGTTGCTTCTCCACAATAAGTTTTCATTAAAAACAGCCTCCAGCTCATTAAAAAAAAAATAAAAAAATTGTTGAATATTTTGTGTAAACTTTTGTCGTACTAAATATGAAAAAAAAATAATTTTAATGACGAAGTTCTAATATGAGCTTTAAAACTGAACCCTTCTTCAATATTATGAGGCAATATGCAAAGCATTGTTCCACTACTAGTTTCAAAAGTGTGAAATTGCTAGAATAGAAGACAGCAGCACAGAATTTAGGATTTGATTTAAAAAAAAATTGTCAACCTCAATATTGTTGAGTTTTGGGGAAAAGTAAGAAGCACCAACAATTTTTTAAATTAACCATTGTATTCTAACATTTGCAACAAAGTATTGTATACTTTTCTAAAACGCATCTGAAAAGTTATCGCAACGCATCGCTAGCGCAATCAGCGCATCAGAAACAACGTTGATGTTTCGTTTGTTATTGGTTACCATTGGTGTTTTAAAAATGGAAAATTCAGAAAAATTGTTTACTGTCATATTGACTATTTCAAATATGCAATGCATGTGGTTGCAATGTGTCGCAACTCACCATATACAAACAGTTTGAATACCGCAGTATAAGCCATCAGCCATCCTCTCCATACAAAAATTAATAAAAGTAAAATGTCGAAATAGACTTCAAGTAGGAACAATTTCCTTTTTACATAACATATATAAAAAGTTAAGGCACAGTTGAAACTACGAGTAATTATTGCTGGATTAGTAGTTTTCACTTTGTAAATGTAAAAGTGTGCAAACTTCATCTAAATAAATTAAAGGTAATATTGTATCTAAATTTTTAGCAATTATTTGTACTTTATTAGGAACAATAATTAAATACAAGTTGTACACCATAACTAAATATTAGAAAAATAACAGGAATACAAATTTGGTACAATTTAGTGATAAAAAGTACAATTTGAATTACATTTTCATACGAAATTGGAAAACGCAATTGTGCGCGTTCATACTGAGGGAAATAATGCATAGCAAAATTTAATATTTTTTATTTGATTATCGTTTAAAAATGTTCGTATTTATGAATAATATTTTCATACAAAATTTATTACGGTCGTATTTGACTGTGTCGGGTTCGAATTCCACTGCAGACAACATGCAAATAAATTTTTTTTTAGTTTTTGTCTTGATTATTCACTTCACGGATGCTTTTTCAGTACGCACGCGGTCATTTTAATATGCGCGTACTTGAATTGAATATTTACCAATATTCAGTGCTTTCGTTGACGTTTATAGTAAGACCAATTACGTTTCTATTTGATTTTAATATTTTTTTTCGTCAGTTACACTGTTACGCTGTTGCCTAACCGTTGGCTGATCAACATTCATGTGTTTAGGGATCCACATTCGAGATTCCCCGGGCCCGATCATAGGAACACCGCTTGGCATCAAACGTGCCTTTCCTGTACATCGCACAGAGGGGTATTTGGCCGATTTAGGCGGCCAAAAGTAGCATTTTCCAAACGCACTTTTTTCTTTTTTACGGAATATAGGGTTAAGAGAATATAATTCTTGACTAGATTCCGTTATTTTTAATCCCTCTTTGCTTTAATTCGCTCGCACCGCGCTGTCATAGTGCCGTGTTGATAATTCTTTATTTGGTTTTTAGATGTGTTTAATACAAGCCGAAGTTGTAAATATCTGCTTTAAATCGTGTGTTCATTTTTTAAATTATATTAAATTAGATAATTGTAAAGGAAAGAAATACCATATGATCCAAATACTTTAATACAAATATAATATGAACTGGTACCGGCAGAGCTACAAGGAAAAATATCGTATTTTTGCAAATTTTAATGGATTAGAGAAATGAACTACAGTCATAAAGTTATGTAACACCACTCAACGGCGCTGAGATTCTTGCTTGGGTGTTATGCTTGACAGTTCGTAGTTTGGAAACAAACAAAAAAAACTGCTGAAAAGGTGCGTTTGCTATGCAGTGACCATTGGAAATACCACTGCAGAAAAATAAAGCTAAAATGCTGCTGCAGTACTGTACCAGTTTTCTTTACATGTACAGGGTGTTCTGTAAAAGTGTTCAATGAGTAAAGGGGGTGATAGAAAAGTCAAGACGCCCGACAACGTTAAGAGGGGTAGCTGGGACGGTTTGGAGGAGGGGTTTAGTATAAAAATTTGGAGAGTTGCAGGGAGAAAATAGTTGTCAGTAAATTTAGAAAAAAAATTCTCTACTTAACGGTAAGTTCTAGCAAATAAGTTTTTAAAGCAGTAAAATCATACTATTTTTTTCTCAAACTATATATACATATGTATGTATATCTCTAAACAATCAATTCTTGTAAATATGTATGTACATATATCCAAAGGTTTCTAGGAATCGACTCTAACGATTTTGATGGAATTTTGTATTCAGATAATGTTTTTGTATTCAGATAATGTTTTTAATTTTAAGGGTATCTGGGGATATTTGTACAAAGTTGCCACGTATTGGAAATTTTTTATAATTATTAATTCTGAGAAGGCACAAAAGATTCACCAAAAAATGAAAGTTAAAAGACATTTCAAATAAAACAAACTACTATATACTATAGTTAGTTCGATGAGTGTACGACATTTCTGCGTGTTAGATAAGGTGCAAATTATTTCAATAAAACTCAACATAATGGTTACTCCGTATAGTGTTTTTTAATCATTTGTTATTTTGATTTAATTTGGGTTTTTAAACATGTAGCAATCCTTCGAAATGTAATTGAAAATTAAGCCATATCAAAGCCGTTTTGGATGATGCCATTAGCGTAGTAATTCATTGAAATTAATTGAATTACATTTTTTTACAGGTGAAAAACCATCTCATGTTCCATATTCATATTGGTAAAATTAATTTAACCTATCATATACATTGAATTAAATTTTTAAGCAAGTGGCAGCCCTGTTAAAAATAGTTTCCAACTATAACCTTATTAAACTGACACCATTATTGTTATACATATTTATTTCAGTTACCTAATTCCCTTGAANTTAAAAATAGTTTCAAACTATAACCTTATTAAACTTACACCAATATTGTTATACATACTTATTTCAGTTACCTAATTCCCTTGAATTAAAGTTGAATTTAATTTTTAAACAGATGGTAATCCTCCCACATGTTGTTTAGAAATAAAGCCTTTTCAAAAATATCTCGATTGATACCCATATTGATATTTGATTTTTTAGCAGGTGGCAACCCTTTTTATGTTCTAACCTAGACATAAACCTTCTCCTCGGCGATGTGAATATGTAGGTATCAATGTTTCGACAATCGGACCTCGATACCATGGAGTCTATCGATGTCAAACTTCAAGCAACTTTATTTTCGTTGTTTTGGTCGGATACTTGCCCTGCAAAAAATGCGACTAATCCGGGATGACTCCGGGAGCAATCGCAAAGGAGCATGCGACTAATACCACTTTTGATCTCTTTATATGGAATGAACTGTTCGCTTTTGTTCGAGCATGTCCTATGAAGAGACTAATTGTTCACCTTTATACCCGAACAGGTATAAAAGGCGACTAGTCACTTTTAAAAAATAAAAATAAAAATTTGCGCCAGCTGAGATTCGAACCGGGGTGTTCAGTTATGTTAGGCGAATACTCTCTCCGTGAGCCAACACCGCACATGAAATTTCATTGACTAAGTGCGTACATATCATTAAATCGTTAATAGTACCCATTAGAGATGAGTTGAGGACTAATTGATCTCCAATTATACCCATAAGGGATGAGTCGAGACCAATTGATCTCCATTAGTACCCGCATGAGACTAGTTGCGACTAATTAATGCCCAATTGTACCCGATTGAGAGTAATCTCGGAATACTCTCTTTAGAGATTAGTCGCACAATTTTTTGCAGGGTGGACATCCTCCCACTCTATTTACATGATTTTAAACATTTAAGCTGATGTCACATAAAACTTTTGCTTCGCTTTACGTGACAGATTCGCTTTGACAGATAAGATGAATTGTATGAAAATGCACAAAGCATGCCACATAAATCGTTGAAGCGGCAGCGCGAAGCGAAAAGATGGTCAACTCCCATCTTTTTGCGCGCTTTGACAATCAGCCGGTTTAATATTTATTTTGTTTCGTCCAAATTCGGGTTTTCATGCAGAAACATAAAACTTAATTACATTGCTGATAATTTTAAATCAAAATAATTAAAATCCACAGCAACTTTGATGAGTAAAAAAGCGGTACAACATTGTTTTCTTGGCGTTCATTGTGGCATACCTTTTGCGTCTGGCGCTTTGCTGGCAAAGTTATAAATGTCACGCAAAGCTACAAAGTTTTATCTGGCATCAGCTTTACAGTTTTAAATATTGTAACACGTCATTTCTAAACATTTTGAGTTAAAATTTTCATACAAATAATTTTGGCCGGGTAAATCGGTCAGCGCGGCGACGAATAACTGTTACCCCGTTTTTTTTTTGAGAAATAAAAGGGTCCTTTATAGTTTTTGCGAAAAGTGTATTTTATTGGTAATTCTCCACAGATTTTACTTTAGTTGTATTAATTAGTTATTAAATTTTAATCCCTATTTACATTTGCCAGCTGTTTAAACTTTGAGAGAAAAGTTTATTTGGCACGCAAGCCTTTTTCAGGTGTATTTTTTCTTAGGCTTTGTACAAAAAAGAAAAAACTGTATAAGGTTGGTCGAATGAATGGCCGTCCTACTCACCAGTTCCGAGTCTATTCGATTTTTAAGTATGAGGCCTTATGTTGGACAAAAGGGGGAGTACAAGGGATTCAAAATTGAGAAAATTTGCCTATGGTTACAGAAGATATGGAATAAATTAACTGACGAAGACCTGCCTGCCAAATGAACTTTTCTCTCAAAGTTTACACTGCTGGCAAATGTAAATAAGGATTGAAATTTAAAAACTAATTAATACAACTAAAGTAAAAACTGTGAAAAATTAACAATAAAATACTTGTTTCGCAAAATCTATAAAGGACCCTTTTATTTCTCAAAAAAAACCGGGGTAACAGTTATTCGTCGCCACGCTGTACATCCCGGTGAATTTAGGCATTAGGCTCTACGATACAGCTGCTTTCCCAATGCTCCTACCGCCAAAAACATTGAGGCACCTCAGAAAATGAGTGGTGCGTAGATTACAGTTAGCACGACAATTAATTATTACACATTTTATATTGGTATAAACCGCACAATTACATTTACATAAATTTAA